ATATTTCAAAATATATTTCACTAAATATATATATACATATACTGCTTGTTGAAATAAGTTATTATTACAAAATATATGAAAAATATTTTTAAAAATACATTACAAATATATTGTATTGTCTTTAAAAATACAAATCTACATTTTTGGAATGCATTTACAAATATATATAAAAAATATATCTTAAAATGACTTTTTTGTATGTAAAAAAAAAAATCTGAAGAATATATTTAAAAAAAATATATATTTTTAAAAATATTTTTCATATTGTTTGTAATATATAAAAAAACGCATTTCAACATGCAGTATATATATATATATATATATATATATATATATATATATATATATATATATATATATTTCTTGAAATATATTTTGAAATATATTGAATATGGCTAAAATTGTAGCATTTCAAATATATGTCAATGTATTTGGGAAGAATATTTTAAAATATATATTTCAAATATATTTTTCTTCCATGTGGGTATTTAAGTAAGAATATAAGTCTCTTATATTTATATGTTTGCTTATCCCATAGTTCAGCTTTAATGAGCGGTCGTAGAGGTGGTGGGGTCGGCGTGCTCTTGTCACCGCTGACCACCTTCCAGGTCCTCCCAAACCCCCCCTCTCTATCCTTCTCCTCCTTCGGGCCCACTGCATCTGACTCTTCTCTCCCACCCCTCTGAGGATTGCTGTAATCTATCGGCCTCCTGGACCCCTATCCCCGCTTCCTGGATGACTTTCCACCTGGCTGCCCTTCTTCTTATCCTCTGAGCTACCCATCATCATCCTTGGAGACTTCAATATCCCTATCAATGTCAACAACCCGGCTACATCCCAACTCCTCCACTTAACCTCTTCTTTTGCACTCACGCAGTGCACACAGTCCTCCACCCACACCAATGGGAACACCCTGGACCTCTTTTTCTCCCATCTCTGCACCCTCCACAACCTCACAAACACCCCTTTCCCTCTCTCTGACCACAACCTCATTACGTTCTCTGTCTCCCCCGTCCTCTAACGCCTCCCACCCCAAACGTTAAACCATCACCAGCCGTAACCTCCGAAACCTGAACCGGGCCCCTCTCCACTCGGCAGCTGACTGTCTGTACGACAGTATCCTTCCACTGTCATGCCCTGACCGGGCCACTACTGCGTATAACGACTCACTGTCAGCTGCCTTAGACTCCTTAGCACCCCTAACCACACGTAGCATTAGACCCCGACCGCTTCAACCCTGGCAGAACGACCACACTAAACATCTTAAACGACGCAGTCGTGCGCTGGAGTGATTATGGCGCAAAACCAGATCCCTTTGAGTGTTCTCCCTCTACAAATCCACCTTCCTCACCTACTCCTCCTCCCTCAACGGCGCCAAATAAGCCTAATTCGTAACCCTCATCAACACCCTCTCCACCTGTCCTCGCCAGCTCTTCTCCACCTTCAACTCCCTATTCTCTCCCCCCCCCACCCCCCACCCAGTACCTCACTCACCGCCCTCGAGATTGCCAATCACTTCCAAAATAAGATTGACGCAATCCATAAGGACATCACCAATGCTCAACCTACCTCCTCACCTAGCCTCCCTCCCACTACAACCCCATCAACTCTCCTCTCCTCTGACCTCGCAACTGCCTTACCCCCCACCACACCTAACGTCCCGCACACTATAACCTCCCCAACACTCCGCTCCTTCAGCCTTGCTACCACTGAGAATTTTACTAAGGTCTTCTCAGAAGCCCACCTCACCACTTGCCCCCTTGACCCTGTCCCCACACAACTCCTCCAGTCACCCTCCTCCTCCATCCTACGCTCCCTCACCCACATCTTCAATCTCTCCCTCTCTACTGGCACATTCCCCTCCCCCCTAAAGCACGCGCACATCACCCCCATACTCAAAAAACCCTCCCTGGACCCCACCGACCTGAACAACCTTAGACCCATCTCCCTGCTGCCATTTACTTCCAAGCTCCTTGAGCGCTTAGACTACAATCGCCTAAGCGCCCATCTCACTGACAACAACCTCTTCGATCCACTACAGTCTGGCTTCCGTCCCCTACACTCCACCGAAACTGCCTTACTCAAAATCACTAATGACCTGCTAACCGCCAAAGCTAATGGCCACTACTCAGTCCTCTTACTCCTCGACCTTTCCGCGGCCTTCGACACAGTTGACCACCCCCTCCTCCTTAATAATCTACACTCCCTTGACATCAGAGACTCCGCTCTCTCCTGGCTCTCCTCCTATCTATCCCAACGCTCCTTCAGCGTTACCTATAACGCTACCACCTCCCCCTCTCTCCCCCTCTCTGTTGGGGTCCCCCAAGGTTCCGTCCTCGGCCCCTTCTCTTCTCCATCTACACCTCCTCCCTCAGCAAACTGATACACTCCCATGGCTTCAACTATCACCTCTATGCCGATGACACACAAATTTACCTCTCCACCCCTCAACTCACCCCTTCTGTCTCCGCTTGTATCACCTACCTACTGAACGACATATCAAACTGGATGTCGCTCCATTTCCTCAAATTGAACCTTTCCAAAACCGAGCTCCTGATTTTCACCCCAGCCCATGCCGCCCCCATCCTCTCCATCACGACCAACAATGCCACCATCAGTCCCACCCCACAAGCCAAAGTCCTAGGTGTCACTCTAGACTCAAACCTGTCCTTCCAACCCCATGTCCAATCATTGGCAAACTCATGCAGGCTCCACCCTCCGCAACATCTCCAAAAATACGTTTGTTCCTAACCCCAGACACTACTAAACTACTTGTTCACTCCCTTATTATCTCACGTCTGGACTACTGCAACTCCCTTCTCACTGGCCTACCTCATCGCAGACTATCCCCGCTTCAGTCTATCCTGAACTCAGCAGCCAGACTCATCCACCTTACCAACCGCTCCGCTTCTGCCACCCCCCCCCCCCCGTCATTCCCTCTACTGGCTCCCGATTGCCCAACGCATAAAATTCAAACTACTAACAACTAACACAGACATACAAGGCCATTCATAATGCTGCCCCAAACTACCTCACCGACCTGATACCCAAATACCACCCTACCCGCAATCTTCGCTCCTCACAAGACCTCCTACTTTCTAGCTCCCTGGTCTCCACCTCCCACGCCCTCCTGCAGGACTTCTCCAGGACTTCCCCCATCCTCTGAAACTCACTATCCCAATCCATCAGACTGTCACCTACCCTCCTCACCTTTAGGCGCACCCTGAAAACCCATCTCTTCAGGGAAGCCTACCCTGCCCTCACCTAACAGCCGATCTCCTCCACTCCTCCCACCTCTCCATCCCCCAGATCCACTTCCTCCTGTACCACAATCCCCTCCCTCCTAGATTGTAAGCTCGAAGGAGCAGCGTCCATGAATCCCTCGTGTATTGTATTGTTACTGTATTGTCTCATGTACGGTCCCCACTATAATGTACAGCGCTGAGCAAACCTTTTAGCGCTATATAAATACTGTATAATAATAATAATAAAATCCTCTTCACTCGACAGTCATCTCCTTACAATGTAAAAATAATTCCTTTAGCACTTCCGGGATCTGGATATGAAATTGTATTTAATTAACATATTGAATGAACAGTTAGCAAAGCTTTTTCCTCTCTATTGTGCTAAAAAAAGACATTCAAAGTGTTGGCCTCCATTGATAGTACAGTCCTTGTTCAGTATAGCTGCCTCTCCCCCTGTATATAACTAATAGATTTTTTTTTTCATTTTTGCTTTCATTGCATGTATCTTTTTCAGCGGTCCAACACTTTGCTCTTACTGTTTTCGATGGAGTGTACACAAGAGTGAAAAGGCCCATTCTCTTCCTTCTCTTCTCTCCGCACAGCGTTCTTGGTGGAGGCACCACGCTGACAGGTAGTCATCACCTCTTACTGGTTGTGTTTTTGTTAGGAAAAGGGTAGCAGAACCCCAAGCAAAGAAAAATAAATGTGTATATAAGCTACAATAAATAATCTATTTTTAAATAAAGCTATATGAAAGAGAGTTGTTATATGGGGTTCCTAATAACCTCATTATCAGTATGTAGAGTGTGTGCTTTTATGTCTCCCAGGGACTGAGCTCCTGCCCCTATTGCAGCTCATTTTCAGAGATCTTAAATGTCTGTTCTTTGAACACTTTGTGCTTTCTCTTCCATAAATTCAGAGTGATGGGAATACGCTGCAGTGGATACTCCATCTTAAAGAAAAAGGACAAAATAAGAATAATGACCGGTGCTGGACTGTGCTCTAACGCCACTTTTTCATTCAAGATAATGAATAAATTTTTTACAAGTAATTATATATCTAATTTATATACATTTCATGTTGCTCTAAAATAAAACAATACTTGGGAAGTATGAAGGTTGCAACTACTGACCTCTCCTTCTGAAAAATACTTTTCCAAAAGTAAGTGGGCCTAACTTTTTTAATAATTTACATAGATTATTACAATTTCACAAGTTGGTAGAGTAACGTTTCCTCTATAGCAGTGGTTCTCAACCTTACTAATGCCGTGACCCTTTAATACAGTTCCTCATGTTGTGGTGACCCCCCAACCGTAAAATTATTTACCCAGTAATTATAATTCATGAGTGTCGTTTTACCTCCAATACTGCTGCTTTCAACACAGTAGCTGCTTTTAACAGAGTAACTGCTTTCAACACAGCAGCTGCTTTCTACACAGTAGCTGCTCTTTACACATCGGAAATATGTGTTTTCTGATGGTCTTAGGGGACGTTCGACCCCCAAAGGGGTCGCGACCCACAGGTTGAGAACCACTGCTCTGTAGTAACTCCTCTTCTTCTTTTTCATTGCAGATAAATAATGGATTCCAAGCAAAAGCAATGTGCGGTCATTGAGTTCTAGATGAAGGAGGAGTGCAAGCTGTTCAACATCCACAGAAGGCTATGGAAGATGAAACGTGTACAGATGGATGAAGAAGCACTGAGGCCATCAGTGTCAGAAAGAACAACTCCTTTATCAAGAACTCAATGACAGCACATTACTTCTGACCAGGAGCGGACTGACCATTTGGAAACTCGGGCACTGCCCGAGGGCCCGGGGTCGGTAGGGGGCCCCATGAGATGCCCCTGGTACCTTTTTCATAGGCTTTTTTTAGTTTGGGTAAGGACACAGGGGCCCCATGATCCCCTATTTCCCGGGGGCCCCATGAGTTGTCAGTCCGCCCCTGCTTCTGACTGGAATCCATTATTTACCTGCAATGAAAAAGAAGAAGAATTATGATTTATTTGGCCTCATATTTCTCCTATCTACTTGTATTCCCTTGGCCATCATACTGAATGCAGATCAGGAGATCTGATTTTACTCCATGACTTTTCTGGTCTGCACTTATTAAAGACAGAGACAGCCAGGCAACTCCTATTTTCAAGAGACAGTTAGCAATGGCTAATTCTTCTTTCCTGTCAGTACATGCCTCAAGTAAAGTGTCTCTTCCTTTAACCTGTGAGCCACAAATTTTACTTTTAGATGGGATCAGCTTTTTTTGCTGTCTGTGTTCCATTGGTGAGATTTCTCGTCACATCCTGTTTCTATAAAACAACAGGATGTCTCTTCAAACAGAGGGGAAAACCCTTCTTTTTTTGTATTCTTTATTTATAGCTTTTGTGGTATGTTACAGAAAGCAAATAAAGAGAATATGCAAAACAAGTAAAATAGGTCATAGCATAGCAGTAGGGGCCTGAGCCCATGTTTACAACATGAGTAACTCAAAGAGGAACCATACGGTGCTAGATCCATCTTTGTAAAAAAAAAAAAAAGAAGAAGGGCAGGATGGGAGTCTAGCCCAGACAATTCCAATATAGTAGAATACATGAAATATTGTCATTCAGGATTCAAGTATTTATACCAATAGGAGCAAACAATAAACATCTATAGAAAAACTTGCATGCATATATCTAAGGAGACCCTACAGCGCCAGGCTATGGTTAGGGCAGCTATTTACATAGAGTTTGGAGGGATAAGGAAAGAAATAGAAGCAAAAAGAAGAGAAAAAGGGGGGTAAGGGGGGCAAGGAAGGGTGAGTGGGGAAGGGATGTCACCAGCCCGGATGCATACAGTGGATATAAAAATTCTACACACCCCTGTTAAAATGTCAGGTTTCTGTGATGTAAAAAAATGAGGCAAAGATAAATAATTTCAGAACTTTTTCCACCTTTAATTAAAGTGAACCCCTAAAATGGTCACTTAAAGTGTTACTAAACCCACAACAGTAAAATCAGTCTGTATATGCAGTAAAGCATACACTCACTGTGGAACCTAAGGGGTTAATCCTCTGTATTATGTAAAAAGGATGTTTGATTCTGTCTTCTTCTACTATCCCCAATCCATCTGCTGATAGCATAGAGCCTTGAAGACAAGCTGCACATGCGCCATTTGGTGAGTATTGCCGGAGCGTTTTTTTTCATTGAGCATGTGATCAGCACAGAGCCAATCAGCGGTCAGGTGTCTTGCAGTCTCATAATACAATCAGGGGAGAATGACTCCTGCAAGCTTTAATCAGTGCTCTGCGGGACACTGATAGAAGTCACAAGACCGCTCTAACTACTGATGAGAAGAGGTATCTAGGAGTTTCTATTTACTAAAATAATTTCATTTCCATGTTGTGTGTATTGTGGGAGACCGGATATAGTGAATGCAGGGTCCGGGGAGACCAGATATAGTGAATGCAGGGTCCAGGGAGACCAGATATAGTGAATGCAGGGTCCAGGGAGACCAGATATAGTGAATGCAGGGTCCTGGGTTTAGTAACACTTTAACTTTCTTCTCCTCAACAGCATGCTGACAAAAAAAGCCATTCCTCCCCCCGTTTACAGAACTCAATATCTTAAGCTGAACTCATCCATTCCCGGTTAACAGAATTCCTTACCTCAAGGGACTAATTCCTTCCCCTCCTTCCCCCTCTCTGTAAGTTTTACTCTGACAGGGCCCTTTGGAGTTTCAAACAGAGAATGAATCTGAAGGCAAACAGCTTCTGATCTGACCTCTATTTTGAATATCTAGTATGCTCCTTGACATCAATGTCATGGATGCACCTTTTATTAAAATGAACCCCTAAAATAGTCACTTAGCTCCCCCTCTCCCCTTGAGTAATTTTTCTTGCTCCCCCACCTTTATGCTTGGCCACAAGGGGCAAAGTGAAATATCCAGAACGTCCTGGTATGGGTAAGCATGTGATTCAGTCCACCTCTCCAGTGTGGCACTGCTAGGTGCCTCATGATTAGTCCAGCAATCTGATATGAGGCTGTGAAAGGCATTTATAGCCTCCTGTAAGCACTGAAAAGTCCATTTTGGAGCTTACACAGGGCTTTCTTTCCCCAGTCATTGCTGAACATAGTGGAAAAGAAGAAAAGAAGGGCTGTGTATGATGCTGTGAAGAGTGAAGTTCAGTGATTCTTTGCTTTGAACTGCATGGACAAAGGAAACAGTCATAAAGCAAGAGGGTTAAGAGGGCCTTGCTCCTGGGAGCTTACAATCTAATAGGGAGGGGTTGGCGGAACAAAAGGCAATAACTGTGAGGGATGAACTGATGGGCGAAATAAAAGATTCAGTTATAAACGGAAGGCAGGATAGGCTTCCCTGAACAGATGAGTTTTCAGGGATAGCCTAAAAGTGGACAGAGTAGGAGACAGCCAGACAGAATGGGGTAGAGAGTTCCAGAGGATGGGAGAGACTATGGAACAGTGCTGGAGACAACCATGGGAGATGGAGACAAGGGAGCTAGAGAGCAGGATGTCTTGGGAGGAGGGGAGATGATGGTTTAAGTGGTATTTGGAGACAAGATTGGTGATGTAGCTCAGGACTTAGTTGTAAACGGCTTTGTATGTTATTGTTAATGTTTTGAAATTTATTTGTTGGGCAATGGGAAGCCAGTGAAGGGATTGGCAGAGACGGGTGCCAGACACTGAATTGTTGGTAAAGTAGATGAGTCTGGTAGCAGCATTCATGAATGACTGAAGAGGGGATAGCCTACGAAGAGCTAGGCCTATTTATTAAGTAGAGATTATATATAAATAGTTTTTAAAAATCCAAAAATTACTTCTAAAATGAATTTCTCTTTTTAGCCCAGCAGACACATTTTTATGTGACAGTAATTTCCATTTGCGCTGATGTCTATGTATTAGTCCTGTCATTAGTCAGTGCAGCATGGAAGGCCAAGTACAGATTCATCATAAATTGTGGTAGATTTCACAATATAAAAAAAAATTGTTAAATAAATAAAAAGTCTTCATAGAAAACAAATGAGATTACCCTGCATTTCCATCAATTTAATTGCTGTGATTCATACATGGCTAAAAAGTGTTCATGCCTGTAAGCTCTTATATCCAGTGACCATTGTCTTTTGCATTCCAATTGAAATTTCAAACCAGATTCATAGGGGATTATGTGATCTGCTTGCTGATTGACAGAGAGGAGGTCAGCGGAGCGGTAAATCTGACTAGCAATACACACTGGAAGGCTCAGTGCTACTTCAAATTTTATGGGTGGCCACAGACTGCCCCTTGCTTCCACATTTATTTTACCTGTCTTCAGGGAAAAATATTAGGAAATAAATATTTCACCATATAAGTTTTATGGTCTTTTATATTATTTGAGAACCGCTGAACTGTATGCCCTTAAAACAGGTTAATGTTCCAGAATGTTTTTAGTTTTTTTCAGAGCCCCTGGAGGGAAGCCACATTGAAGAACAAACTACTTTTCTTGTATAGTGCTACCCCCGCAGGAGCTGCTTGGTAATTTGGGTTCTCTGCTCTGCGCTTCTTCAATTCCAAGGACAACCTCAGTCCCCCTGGCATACCTGGTTGAATGAAATTTACTGAGAGCACTTATAAGGCAGAGTATAGATACCATTGACTCGACTGTGAATTAGCACCGGGAAATAGACACAAGACCGTTTAATGGTAAATTAAATAAATGTATTGGTACGGGTTAGAATAAATGGTGGTTCGAGCATTAATGAACACACAGAAGGTAGATTTAAACACAGACCACTGGACAGTGCAATCACTATGCCAAGGTAACTTAGAATAGAGCTCTGTATCTTTAGACTGGGATTAACTCATGAATCAGCAAAGTCAACAATAAACAGTGCATATAAACAATTTCAGCCATGGGTGTGGGAAGCTCTTGTAGGGTCCAAAGGCTTATGCATTTCAAAGGCTTTGGATGCTATGAGGGCTTCCCACACCACTGGCTGAGCACCCAGGGGCGGTCTCATCTACATCCTTTTATATGTCAATGCTTGTCATTAGTTTGTGAGTGGAATACTATTTATATTTCTAAACAATCTGTTATTTTGGCAATACACAAAGTCAGTGCGCCCTCTGTTTCCAGTGTTTGAGAGGACCTTCACAGTCCTGTGAGGGCACAATACCTACTAGCCGGGCAAGCAAGCGTTATATGTCCTTAGCATCACACCAAAGCGCAGGAGGTTATTAATCCTATTTCTTCAGCTGGCTAGTGTTGGGGCCTAGCTGTACCATTAGTGCACATGTCCTAGTCACACCTGTAGACAACAAATAAGACTACTAGATGGCTGTATGGTCATTTCAAACTGCTAACCCTGACCTACAAAGCCATTCACAACGCCGCCCCAAACTACATAACTGACCTGATACCCAAATACTACCCTACCCGTGTCCTCCGCTAATCCCAGGACCTCCTACTCTCTAGCTCCCTGGTCTCCTCCTCCCACGTCCAATTTCAGGACTTCTCTAGGACTTCCCCCATCCTCTGGAACTTCCTACCCCAATCCATCAGCCTGTCACCTACCCTCCTCACCTTTAGGCGAACCCTGAAAACCCTCCTCTTCAGAGAAGCCTACCCCAACCTCACCTAACACCTGATCTCCTCTACTCCTCCCACCACTCTATCCCCCACAGCCATTTCCTCCTGTACCACTTTCCCCTCCCTCCTAGATGGTAAGCTCGAAAAAGCAGGGCCCTCGAACCCCTCGTGTATTGTATTGTTACTGTCTTGTCTCATGTTCTGTCCCCCTTGCTACTGTACAGATATAGTACAGTATGAATACTGTATAATAATAAGAATAATAATTTCCTAAAGGGTTAAGTCTCTCTACCAGCAAATAGTAAATCCTTACAGCAGCAGCTCACCAGTCCCAATTATATCTCTGCTCCACTTCCCAGGCGACTCTGGCTGTTCACATCCACAAATTCTGCACTCCAGGTCCTGCTCAGGCTGCTGATATACAGCAGTGGTGGTGTGCACTGGGCAGCAATGTGGACTCTCTTGGCTCCCTCACAGCAAGAAGAAGCTGTGTCCAGTACAGCTTGAGAAAATGCAGCTATTTCCTCTCCTCCTGGCAACCTCCTCTCTGGGGAATGTAGTTTCAAAGTT